GATTTAAAAAAAAAAAAAAAAGCATCCAAATGATTTTGAGTTAAAAGAGCCTTATTTCAATAGGATTTGTGTTAGAAATGGCTCACAAAAAGTGCAACATCAAAGAGAGATATAACTAATTAACAAACCCAAATGATCAGGACTCCTCCATAAGCCTATCCATTATGAGCTTTAAGACCGCAGGAGCATCAACCGTCACTGCGACTTTTACTGTTGGTTTGTCTGACCACTCGCACACTTCTTCAAACCTGGTTCACATCAAAACAACACAAGTTGAGCTTATAAGTCCAAACTTAGCTTTCTAATGGAAGGCTTCACGTCATTGCAGGTCCTTTGTGGAAGTGGTGGGCCTCTTTTTTGCATAGGATAAACCGGGATATGTATACATCCTCTACAATATAAAACCGTCTTCATGCATGCATATATGAAAATCTAACCTCTTTTGATTGTTGTATAATAAAGTGAGTCCTTTAGTGATGCCGTTTGTTTGCACTCTAACAACTCCTTCTGTATAAGTGAATAGAGAAGGAAGGAAAGCCGCAAGGATTGTTGTAGGATCATGAAGGTAAACACCTGCCGGAAAAAAAAAGGTTAAGCTAAAACATTTGATCGCGGAAACTTTCTTACCTTTTTAGTCTAATTAACAAATGATTACCAAATCGTACCTTTGATCTCGTAAGCCTCAAGATGATAAGAATAGTAAATATCAAGGATTTTGCATATGTATTGAGCTAATTTCCCGTTTGATAATGACAATTTGTCCCTGTCATCAGCTGAACAAAGCAGAAACAAACGAAGAATAGTAAGTTAAGATGATAAGAAGAATTAAGTAACATGATGTCTAATTGTCTATGCACTCTTCAAACAAAGCTCATCGATTTTGCAAATTACTAAGCTTTGTTTCACTAAATTAACTTCTTGGTCGCAACAAGCAATCACAATCCCGAGCAATAAAACCAACGATCCATCACAGTTATGTTAACAGCATTTGTATATGTATATGTAAAACATCAAAGCAGGCAAAAGATTTTCAAGAAAACCTGTCATTATAACTTGATGGGTCACATTGATACCCACAGCAATTATATCAGCTCCACAAGTGAACACGATATCTGCAGCTTCTGGATCGCCAAAAATCTACTCTAGCCAGAAAATTGGATAGAAAAAAAGATGCGGAAACTAAAGAAATCAGCTCTAACACAAGAAGATTTTATATTCACAGCTGATAGAAAGTGATGTATAAACCAATGTGTGTGAAGATCATATTGGTTTTAATGGGTTTAAGAACTAACATTAGCTTCCGATGCTGGATTTACATTTCCGTTTACTGCGAATGCTCCACCAAGAAGAACAATTTGTCCGACATTTTTCGAAAAACCTGGATCAAGCTGAACAGCCTGCATCAAGGTAATGAAATCTTCAATGAGATAATTGGATAGAGATAAGTAAGACCAGAAAACTGCGGATGAGAAAATCTTACCAACGCGATATTTGTTAGAGGTCCCAAAGCAACAACTGTGATTTCGCCAGGGTAAAGCTTTGCTTGTTCAACTAAGAACTCAGGGGCAGATTTCTCAATTGGTTTTCCTTTAGGTGGAGGGAAATTTTGGTTGCCAAGCCCATCTTTTCCATGAACAAAGTCAGCAATTCGAGGCTTTGTACCGTTCTTTACAGAAGAAAAGAACAACAATATTAAGGCAAAGAATTGGAACTTTCCACTGATCTTGACATTGTATGAACTATTATACACTTACTAAATATCTAAGAAATTTGTTGAATCTCAAACACAATAACATATCAAGGGCATAAAGTAGAAACATACCATGATAGTTTTATGTGTTCCTTCAGCCACAGGAATGTCGGTTCTACCCGCAACCTCCAACTAGTAGATGCATAAAGAAACAATAATTAGATCATTCCTTCTAATCCATTCCACTTCATTATGAGATCCATATGAACCAAAGCGTAGAGATGGTACCAAATGCAAGGCGTTTCGAGTGGCGAGAGTGGTGTAGACATTTCCATAGATGGTAGTGAGACCAATCACATCAACTTCTGGTGATTTTAAAGCCACGAATATCGCCATTGCATCATCTACATATCATCAAATCCAGTGAGAAGGAAACTCATGAGAACTCTTTTGAGTGAATTCAAAGTTAAAAAAAAAACTACACAGGAGATGATAAAAAAACCATCTTTGGAATCAATCTCAGATCTTCAATTTTCCAGAATCAGTAAACCCATTAGTTATAAGGAGAGAATCAATAGATCCAAATCCGAGAAGATTCAAAGGGCAAATACACTACAGAAACAGAGACTACTGATTAAAGCTTTACACAGTGATTGGAATCGAATCGAATCAGAGAATCAAAAAGGGGATAATATACCGATTCCAGGATCAGTATCGATGATAATCTTCTTGCGGTATCCCATCGCGATCGAACTTCAACACCGGCAAAAGGTGAAGAATTTTTAGGGACCCAAATATCAAAAAAAGCTAACTTTTTTCTTCAATCCGAATTTTCACGCACAAAAGAAAACAGTCTTTTTGGAGTATTTATGATCTGCACACAAAAGGAGGAAAAAGCAAAAGAGTTCATAAAAAGAAAACTTTCTTTTTCCAGTCTGTAATCGTGGCTTTGTGGACCTTTTTTGGCTGTTTCTATCGAATTTGTATTCAATCACGTTTTTAATGATCTTTTTCCAGAATTTTCCTCTCTACTGCAGTATCAGACAATATCCAGATTAGAGATGGTTCGTTAACGATTAAAAACGAAGAGGTGATATGGTTCGTATGGGATCTCATACACCGGTCTAGTTCATGACATTTCGGTTTTTAGATAACGATATACCAAACCGGAAAATTTGGAACATAACCGGTTTGGTTTCTTGAAAGAAAGCAAAAAACAGAGTCGCATTAGGTAAGAGTCGTATAGTTTCCTTATCCTTTATAGAGTTTAGTTTCCTCAGGAGATTAAAAACAAAACAAAAACTAGTTATTTACAATCACGCTGACTTCGAAATCCTAATCAAGAAAACCACAAGAGTTACAAATTAAAAGAAGTAAAAAAACATGACAAGTTTAAAACAAACTCAAATACTAAATCCTAATAGAATTAGGTGAAGAGAGAATATATACGACCATGATTCTCTAAAAACAATGACAACCAGAGAAGATGTGCCTGAAGACATTCTGAATGGTGCGGACTCATTAATGATTTTGAATAGCGCAAAGCCAACCGCGGAGGAGCGTAAGAGCATTCCATTATGGATAAAAACCGCTGCTGAGAGCTGCTTGCTGGATATTTGAAAAGAAACAAAAGCTCAAAGATTA